TGCTGTCGGTTCTACTCGCCTTCCAGGATGGGGACCGCGTGATCCTCACTGTGCCTGGTTGGAGACACTACAAGATATGGCTGGCACCCGATGTCAGTGGCGTTCTTGTTGTCAGCTTCTGTCCAGATTGCCTGAGCGAATGTCTGGAGGTGTAGGCACCTCGGAATGATTGTGTTAAGCTAGCACTAAGTCCCTCCCCCATCCACCTTTATTCTTTTCTCTACAATAAGGCTTTCAAATAAGTCATGGCTGTACGGCAGTGAAGCATTGGTGTTGAGCACTGATGTCATGGTGTCGTTGATGATGATGATTACGGAAAAGCGTTCAGGCATGTCAGACGCGGATTATATCCATTTTAAAACTAGGCTATCCTGCATTCTTTGTGTTCTAAATTACAAGGGAAACTAACCATCACCGGAAAATACGTCCCGATTAGGATGTTCGCGGAATCGGATGACACGATAGACCAATGTTCTCAATTGTGTGCAGATTCCGGACAACGGAACTACCGGATACCAAGTTTACGCAGTCGGTCAGTACAAGGTTAGTATTCAAGAGGATGAACAAATTGGATGCCCGCATTCGATCGACTCGACTCGTTGAGATGACTGTGCAAAAGTCACTGCCCGGATTTTATACTACGGTTGAAGTCGACCACAGTTTCCGCCCGTGCCAATAATCGATCATGATATCTGAATTTAAGTGAAACGAGACGTTACCTTTGAGTAAAGTTTAGAAATTTGCACCCGATCCTGACAATAGTCAAGCCGCCTCAAGACAACCCCGATCAGCGTTCTTCGAAGAATGAAGAGACATCGCAGGAGACCACAGATTAATAGAATAAGAATACAGCTTATTTCTAATGCGGACTCTGAATGTCTGGCTTCAGCCCGCCTATTTCCAGTAGACCAGCCTGCATTTAAAACTGTTAGTAACACCTTTTCTTGCAAATCTGGCTTCACAATCCCATTAGTCTTTGCTCGTTCTGGTTGGCACGTCTGAGGACCTCAAAATTTCCTCTGTTTTGTTTGGCTCTGTTCGTTCATGCGTGCTGTGTTAGCCGAGTAACCCATATTCAGCACTGAACCAAAGGGGGGACATCAGAGAGTTGTTATGGTGTGCTTGCTTGTATTACCCATCGATATACTTCTGGTACTGGTTACATCATCAAACGGCGAGCTTCGGTAGGCCATTTGATTAATCCGGAACGTAATCGTCTCAGGGTGACCAAGGTGATGCTTATACTAGTGGGATTAATTTTTGCTTTTCTAGATCGATGTCTTAGAACTGAAAACAGGAGTCCACCTCATGGAGACAGGATTTCACCGTTTTTAGTCGGTTTGTGTACCTGTTCGACGCCTTGATCCATAATTTTTTTTTGGGGGGGCTTTGTCAATTGCCTGACGAGTGTGGTCCCGCTGTTCTCCAGGCCTAAGGTCAGAATGTAGACCTGGAGATAACGACGATTAAGATCCTCAACCGAAACCTTTGACTCAAGAGCCCAACTGCAGAGCAGTTAAGGCAGTGCAATCAGTTGAGCTGTCTTAATTTCACCTGGTAAAGTCCCCAGGATGAAGGATCAATGATCTGTTTATCAGGCCTCTGTCCATTGACCGACTTGGTAGGATGAGCATCTTCCAGTAGTTTCTCCCAATGAAAACACGTACGAATCAGGTTACTCGGTTATCTTGAAGGGGCTCTTAAGACTCACCAGAAATGCACCTAAAATAGAGCTCCACATCAACTCACGGGGATTACGATGTGATCCGTCGACTTCATGCAAAATACCCTGAAAATATCGGAAGCCTGGAATTTTTTAGCAAGACCACAAAGCCATACTTGTCACCTGAATGTTCACAAAGCTGGATTCACTAAATACTAATTCTAATATCAACTTCATTGCGCCTTCCTTAGCACATAGATGCTGTACAGGCGGTCTAACCTGGCGGCGTTTATTGTTTCAGTGTAACTGAGTGTGAAGGGTCTTGTTGCCCGCTTTCCTATACAGTTAGATGGTAAATTTAGGCCTTGGGACAAATAGTGGTCCCCTTTTTCTCTTTATTTTGTGTACCCTTGACTGTCCATCTGCTTACCCAGTCGTCGTTTTACAGTGAAGGATTCCGCCGTTTGCTTACCGACTGAGGTTCATTTGAATATAACTCCACTGAGAACATTTCAACTCGTTTTCCGCTGTTTGCTGCAGCAGAATGGTACAAGTTTTGTGCGCAGGTAAAGGTCTGGGCCTCCTAGGGATTTTTTTGATATTTTTGACATCATGCTATTTTTGTGGCTTTCATACTCGGGTGTTATTTCTGCCTGCATAATTACCTCGGGTTGTGCGAAAGACTTGCGGCGAAAGGATGTGCATACGTTGAATTCTGATGGAATTGGTGGAAATATAACTCACCATCACCCATATGGTGCGCTGTCATCTTCCGGATTCGCCTGTCACGTCGAACCACGATGATGGATCTTCGTGAACGACTAATGCCATCCTTGCTTTCAGCCGAGCCATGTGTACAACCAGGTGGACGCATTGTACCCAACCTAACCCTGAAGAATAAGACCGGGGGTTGAACAGGAGAGTATAACTTTAGGTTCGTCGAATCATGCGGGAACAATGAAGGTAACAGCGTAAAGTGGTCTATCGCTGCCTACCGCGAGACACATGCATATGGTTAACTGTTGCTATTCATTGACGAGGTTCTTCTGTACAACGGCGATCACGGAATATCACTTTTGGTATCGTCCTGAGGTATTTGAAATGTTAATATAGATCGTACCAGACATTCATATGGAATACGACACAATAATGGTGATTCGTTAGCAAGGACAAAGACAACTCGGCTTCAAGTAACGGACCTTATAGGAACCGACCAATATCTTACGGACCAACCTTGACCCAATATATAAACGAAGTGATTGCAAATCAGCAGCCGTGATGGAAAGTTGTATTAATCAATCTTTGCTGACGTAATCCGAGTAAAGCGGATCGGAACAGCTGACTTCAACTGTTGCAGCTACTCTTTGGTACACTAAGAACATAGTTCTTAGTTCTTTTTGACGGTAGTCCGCTTACGTGATTCATATGCGCACTGCTCAACTACGCTGTTCCTTCAGCGCATATGAATTGTTAGCACCGGGTCTCCCAACCTCCCTTCGAATGCCCTAATTAATGTTTCGACCTAGAATGTGTGTTAATAGCCAGCAATACCTTGGGTGTTCGCGATGTTCATGATAAGTGGCTTAATTGGATTTCTAAAACAGTCATTTAACCCCCCCATTTCCCCCCTAAAGTTGACTCCATTCGCAAAGCTTGTCTATTCATGTTTGGTATACGTGGCCATTAGCGCGTTTCTTCCGCTCCATCTATTTTTTTCTTCAGACATTCCGATGCCTTCTTCACAATACCACTTACTGGTGAACGATACTGAACTGGCTGAACTCGATTCAGTTGATGGATGCACAGTCTTAGCAAAGCGTTACGGTCAAACGGAAATCACACTTTTCGATCGCAGTAAGTTGCCACTGGTCACAGAACTTAAGTGAACAGCTGGTGTGTGTATTGCTGTTTTTTTATAGCTGAATTGCTAATTCAAACCAATGTTTGCATAATGCTCTTTTGTTTCACGTGGGTGTTTTTTCTTTTTTGGCCCCAATCGCGGTGTGTGGGACCAGAGCCGGACGCATCCACAATGTGGATCATGAATGGCTTTTATACGTCGAACTTCCTCTGACTGTGGCTTTTGGGTGTTCTATTCCAGATGTGGAAGAGGCTCTGGAGAATGTTCACGCAGTGGCTCGCGCAGAAGCACAGGGGGACGAACATCTCCGGCTTCCTCGTCGGCGTCCTCCGACTTCTCTGATTCACATTGTCGAACCTGCTTATTTTGGATTCATCATGCAGGCCTTTATCCACTCACGTTCCACTATTTGTCAGCGTGCAGCTTTTGTTAGTGCACATCGGTTAAATCGTCCCACACATGAAGAACCTCAGATCTCGCGCGATTGGATTATGGAGGTTGGGCACATGTACACGGTGTCCGTGGAATTGTTTGACCATAACGGTCATCGTCTCTATGCCTTGGATAACCTACGCGTTGAGTTGAAAACCTCATCGGATAAATTGAGTGTACGTCTTAGTTTGTTGGTTCAATAAATGACCAAACAATTCCATTAGAGTACGCTGGCTAGGAGTGCTCTCGTTTTTTTCACTTCCAGCTGCAGAACTCGACAGCCAACGGCACAGTGGCAGTTGTTCAACCCACCAACCCAGGACTCTTCACCATAGAAGCCAGGTTATTAGGTTTTACGGATAAAGTAAGTGAGTGGTATCACCATATGCATTCTCCAGAGTTGACTTTGGAGAATTATCGCTTTTTGTTCATTACCTCTAACGAAGTGTAATTTCAACCCACATGCTCAGTTGATACCATGATTTCTCATTTTTAGTCCGGTAGACTCATCCCATCACCTACTTCCGTCTTTGGTTCGGAAGACATCGTGGTACACCCGATCACTGATGTCCAGCCATCACTCGTCATCTTGCCTTGGCCCATATCCGTCAACGAAAGTACTGGCTATAAGTTGATCGTATCCGGAGGACATAGCCCGTATGTTTGGAGTGTCCTGCAGGAGAGCACAAACACACCGGAGGCGGTTTTAGACGAAACCGGTGGTTCGATCAGCAACGAGGTAGTCTCCATCAACCAGAAGGGGGAGTTAATGGCCATGGTTAGTCAGTGCGATTGTCTACTCTGCGCCTAAAGATATTCTACTGCTCGTTCTGTTGTGTCTAAATCTTTGTTTGAATGGCAGGTTCTCCATTACTTTTTCCTTGCATGTACGTCTTGATTGGTCCCCTGTGCTATTTAGTCAGAGAAACACAATATGCATCTAAAAAATTGAAATAGTGGAATACTGGCCTATATTGATGCCGTCGCCAGTCAGAGCACATAACCTACTCGGAAAATAGGTGCGAAAATAATCTCTTTCGTCGTGCACTTCACATTCCTGAGTAACTGCGTAAACATTGACTTTACTGTGAAGGCAATGCACATTGTTCGATAAGGTCTGCGAACTTTGGAAGTATTGAGGACGGAACTCGCCGAGAGTCTTTTTGCTTTCTTATTAATTTTGAAAATGTTATTCAACACTCGACGGATTCCCTCATAGTTCATAGCATATTGAGGCACATCACTGGTTAAGACACGCAATCATTGACCGAAAGACCCGTAAATCGTACCCAAGCTCGGCATATTGACGGCTGCTGTCTAGGCCTGGGCAACCTGGGAGTATCTCAGCCCTCCTGGTCTCCTCGGTTGGCATGTCAGCTGGGCGCCGAAAAAGTGTTACAGCTGAAGGGTTTGTAAACGGATAGCATATCGATGTACGAATAACGTGCGGGACATAGACTGTCTTGCGGTTCGATTGCGGAGAATGTCAATATGCTGCTGATTACGAAGAACTCCAGTTTCAGTCGTTTCAACATACGAGCTTGAAAAGAACACATTGCCATTCAAAAAAGGAATGATTATCTCAGCCCCCGGGACTATAGCTTATGAGCCCTGAACAGAGCAGAACCGATAGTGAGCTGTTTGCAGTACGGACGATTGTTCAATTGAACAATCGTCCGTACTTGGTATTATGAAACTCCCTGAAAACCTGAGACATCTATGAACATTGGGGCACTGAATTGTCTGTAGTATTTTATCCTTTGGCTGTCAGCCGCTTGCTCGAAATCCAGTAAGGGTTAACCGAGCCTTACTGGATAATAATCGTCGACAAGTTAGCAGATAAAGTTATATGCATCTTTTTCTACATTGTATCGATAGGAATCGTAGTAATCATAAATCGGACTCGAGATAGCTCGGTGCTTGAGGTGCGAACCCACTGCGAAGTTTCTGGTATCAATGGGCTGTATTTCGGTGAAATTCTTGCGGGAAGGTGGTATGATGGAAGACCACTGGGGATGGTTACTACTAGTGCGCCCCCTGCAGTATTCTGTTGCCATTCTGGTTAAGTTAATCGTTTTCTCGGTCGAATTCCTTAGCTGGTGTTTTCACTGATGTATTTACTGCAATGTTCCTTCATGAAAGCTGCAGAGGAACATTCTCTGTCATAAGTGCTGCGCTGCTCTATTTAGCTGTTCAAAAAATGTAAGCATTGTTCGCAGCTGTCTTTCGGAGTTATAGGCCTTCGGATCGGGTGTCTACTTCCCCTGTGTACTTCTATACGGTATTCTTTCCCGGTTAGGCGTAAGTGCGGTACTACAGTCACATAGTTCTTATCGACGTTCACCGATCCAAGGCGGAAAACACGTGCAATGGACCGAATACAAACCTCCCTTGCGGGGACTTTACTGACCCCAGAATCATGTCTGTGCTAGTGCGTATCTTATGTCCAAAAGTTCACAGAGTAAAAAATGATATAGTCCTTGACTGTAGGCTTTTTGGACGGATCGTCATACCAAACGGCAGATATACATAATTCGAACTCGCCAAGAGCAGCACAGGACGCGTAGTTGGTTTCACTGGAAATTTAGAGGCCTGCGAAGTGTTACTCAAATTTCACTCAAGTTTGGGTCGTTGACATAGCTATGGCTGATTTTTTAATGCAGATCTAGGCATGTCTTCCGCAAATTATCGCAATGAGCCTGCCTTTTGCATTTCAGGGATTGGGAGAGGCACTGATTGTTGCAGCTAGCTCGTCTTACCCTCATTTATGCGGGACCGCTAAGGTTTTGGTTACGACGCCAGCTGGAATTGAGTTTGTTCCCGGCCCTGCGGAAGTTGTAGTCCGTCACAAGGAAGGGCGTAAACGACCGACGATCTATAGCGGTCGCCCTTTCGGAGATGCTGGTGTATCAAGTCAAGACACTGAAGTATTATTAGTAGGACTGGCTGTACTTGACTCGGAAAGACGGAGTATGACTGATTGTAGAGGATTGCCCATCACCATCAAACCTCTGGATCCGTCTATCATCGAAGTTTTGCCCGGTAAGTGCTATCTGGGTACATTTCATATCATTGTCCAATACCTCAGTGGTTAGCTCTTAGTTTTGTCTACCACAATTTATGGCACAGACCGAATGTTCGAAGCACGGTGACACAGAGCTACTTACAGGTCCGTCTTTTATTTTTTCAGCATGCAGCGAAGTCGAACGGTTAAAAACACATAGGATTGTGAATAGAAGACGATAGTTAGAGAAAAGGTGTGGAATAGAGCGCTGATTGATGCACAGGAAAAGATTGACCCTTTGAGTTCACTACTGACCGACCAACTGCTATTATTTAGGCCCTCAAATCCCGACAATGGTATGACTTTTTTGCTTTTCATGGTAGCTGAGCTCGCATTATCCTCTCGGATACAAAACATATTATGCCTTTGTCTTCTGCGTTTTCGAGTTAATCATTGTCTCTTACGAGATGCTTAGAACCAGAAAGTTCCATTGGATTTTTCGCTGCACAGTTAGCTGACCTCGGCGGTGTCCAGTGTATTCAGGAAATCATTGTTTTCGTTAAGAGGCTTAGATGCGAAGGGAGGATAGGAAAACACACAGCGGGGACGAAAACAATCGTCATTTCCAATGTTGATGCACACGTATCTTACGTTTGTTGTCATTTGAGAAATTCATCTCCTTTTCTCCGTTTGGTTGATGAATTTCCACAGAACGTCTCCCTGCTCGTCCATTTAACGCGCTATCGGGTCATCTGTCAGAATGCTTACGCATTCAAGTCGTGGGTCTTCAAGTGGGGTTCACCGAACTCGAGGCGTCTTATGAATCACCTGACCCACATTTGTCTTCTAGCTCAGGAACGATTGAAACGCGCGGGAATGTTTCAAACACCATTTACACGTCTCGTTTCACTATTGCTGTCTATCGGAATATCTTGTTTATGGATCCAAGCTTGGACACAACTCATGTCGCTCTCGGTTCTACACGGGAATTCACAGTGAGTCGCATACGTGTAAATTGATACCGAATCGCATGTGGGCCTGAGTAGCACTCACGTACTGCATCGTATTACCGCTAAAATGACACACTACGCTAAGTTTTCAACTCCAAAGTTGACTTTTTGACCCTCCCACCAAGTCTCACGTTGTTGCTCTCCCGTCTCATAGTATTATTTTGCAGACCGAAAACTTCGATGTTTTGCTGTGGTTTTACAGCGCTCCGCATTGGGTCACGTATGTCTGTCCCAGTTCGAAGGATAATAACAGCTTTATTTCACTTTTCGTGTGGTGCATAAATAGTAGGCGAGCAAATTAAAATTGACGGTTAATACTGCCTTCTACATGTCACTCACGGCCAGCTCTTCCTCACTCATCCCATGCCAGTAGATTCGCGGTTGGCCTTGAGTGGCAAAAATGCTGTAGGTGAAGCTGATGCTCTTTCTGCCATCTCATTCCGTCACGCAGCTTCCCTCTATTTCTATCCAATCTACATCGTCATTCGCTCTTTCAGTATTCTCTCGGCCCCTCGCCTTGGATCTTTGAACCGTCAAGTCACTTCTCTCGCGTTCTTGGCTCGGATTCCAGTAGTCCACTTCTGCCTCTTGATCCACATTCACTACCCCCCACGGTTATTCGTGAGCCGTATGTTGATAAAAGTCGTCCGATTCTGTCATCGGGTGATTCTTCAGGTTTCTCAGTGCTAGAATGGAAGTCGCGACCAATGGTGTTCAGCATGCGGTGCGAGTCTCTTGGTTCGTTCCGATTCACGCTTGAGGTGGGGAATAAACCGACCGCGTTAAACACCAATCCCATCATCATGCGTGCCAATTTCACGTGAGTCCTATCTGTGCGACAAGTGTCTTCATGTTAATCCATGTTGGTATATCTGTCATGTCGCTGTCAGGGAACGTTGCAGCCGAACCTCAGGATCTATATGGGAAGTGTTAGCTTGTGTTTGCGTTAGATGGAAGGCAAACACTATTAGACCAGCGAAGAAGAAGGATCAGACATGTTTCTGTGCACACAGTGAGGATGCATCGGTGTTAGCAGTTGGATGGCAATAATTCGTGTGTAGATCAACCGCTGTGGACCGGTTTGGTAAGGAACATAAATCGCTCATCAGAAAACATTATCTCGAAATTATTGAAGCTATTGCCGTCCTTGTGGGATTTCTACTTAATGCTCGTTTCAGTTCTTCGAACCTCAGTTAAGATTTCCCAACCACACGAACATAAATGCAACGCAGACTTGTAGTCTATCTTGGGTGTATTTTCGTTCGTCATGTTTCTTTAACCGTGCTACATAAACTTGTTACCTATAAAGAACAATGAAAAATGCTTCTGTACTCGTCTCATTTCTTGTTTACGATGGATAAGAGCACTCGGAGGTGTTCAAATTTCTGAACATTTAATTAGGAAGTTGTGTTTTCTTGGTCAGTTACATGGAATTCACTTCACTCTATTCTAATTTGCATCAAATCGAAACTTTTAGGATGACCACCGTTCGGGTCGGTCTCTGGATCATCCAAATTCAAGTTCAATGTGTCATCTACCATGTGGTTGGTCAGGATGCATGATCAGATCTGTTTATGCCCCGGACACTGTATCGCTCAAGGATTTAGTTGCCTCATTGTTGTCCTTAAGGCTTTCTCCACCGGAAACAGTCGTGTCTTGTTGTCGTGGCACTATGTGCCGTGTCTTTGATCGACTGGCCAATGTGAAACACATTGCAGTGAAACGAGTTGACTTGCGGGTTCATTAGTCCATTCGAAAAAAACCGCCGATTGGATAGAACGAGCACTTCGAAGAGCTGTTTAGCTGGTCCAAGCGGAGCACATAAAAGGTTGTATAGACTCGCAGACTCTGGCAGTCTCCGGCTCCATGGCGTCCGTGCATCCGAGGAGTTGGGTGCGACGCAAAGCTTTCCATCCCGATCTTCCTACCAGAAGCCCACTGTCACTCCTGGATTCACACGTCAACTAGGGGTGAGATGGCTCATTATTTAGAGCGCGAATTTATTGACCGGAAGGTCCGTGTTTCGAACCCGACCTCTACACCTCGACATCTAGGCTTGGGCAGCCTGTCAGTATCTCCCTCCTAGTGCTTCCTTCGTTTGAATGGTAGCTAGGCACCGAAAGTGTGCTACAGTTGAATGATTTTTAAAATTATTTAGATATGATACTGTCTTCGCTGTTAAGCCACCCACCCCATGGTTTAGTTCGTCAGCGAACGAATATGTAGCAACTATAAACACTGCAGCCACCAGGTTTCCGCTTGAAGATGATGATGAGGTTCTTAAGACGGATCTTTATGTGTACATAACTTTGAGTAATTGAGCTGAGTAAGCTGCTCCATATGACATGCAAGCGTGTGACATATCACTGGGTTTCAAGGGCTGCGTGTATCAGGCTGTAGTTAGGGTAGTATTGTATGATTGTGAAGCATTACTACTACGGACAGATGACTTAGGACATCTTGAGGTTTTTGACCACTAATGTCTCCGAATTGTTGCTGGCATCGAGTGACACCAACGAATTCGTAACGAGGTGATTGGGAAACGGGTATTTGGTTGTGTAACGGGTAATTCAGTGGTAGTTTTCACCTTTCCTTTGTTGTACTGTTTCTGGTCGAAAACTCACTCTACCAATTTCGCTCTACAACTTTTCAGCATCATTTGTGAATTACCCGTTAAACTGCACCTTACTGTTCATCGGCCGTTACCTGTGTTACCAATAGACGTATCCAATTGTCCGCTTGTGAACCTGACTGTTACAATCTTCGATGATGAAGTAAGATTTCCATGTACTTGATGCAGTGGCAGGTCGCTCAGTATGATGTCCGTCTAGTGCGTCTTCTATGTTTTGTTTTTATTAGGACGAACGTTGTTTCCAAACCGCTCGCATGTTTTTATGGTCTTCATTTGTTCTGTTGGCAGAATTATGGAACTTTAACTCCCCCCTCCGTATCTCTTGTTGGATTTGTCCCATAGGTTCTGGTGTGAGTCCTTACTCGTCTTACGTCCCTCAGTGGGCATTTAACATGTCTTTATGGCGAAACAACGCTTCAAGTTTCCTGCTACAATTAAGACAGTCTTTTAGACATCCTGGTTTCATATTGAGTTTCCCTGGGTTCCGTTAGAGGTATTTTAACATGAAATAGATTGTAGATACTCACCCGTTTTGCAAATCTTCGAAAGACTGTCTGTAGCTGTCGACTTACCATTGTTTGACAGCTCCTTTTGGGAATGCTGAAGACATTCTCCTGACCATCCGATTGGTTGCGTGGCGTAATCCAACATTGGACAGTGGCTATCAGCCCCAGGCGGTTTCTTATTCAGTTTTTACTGCAGGTCAAAGTGAATTCCGATTCGTTCAGTGCGGCTTACCCTGTCTTCTGGGCTCGAGCTTATTTCATTGTCTATGCATTTCGGTATGCTGAACACGACTTTTTGCCTGTTTCTCACATCTTTTTTCAGGTCCCAGTCGCAAATACAGCCCCGTTTGTTGTAAGTCTGTCGTTTTTCGGTCCAAACGGCCACAAACTGGAAGCGGTCGATTCGTTGCTGACCACCGTCGCTGCCTTATCGACAAATCAAGCTGATGGTAGCCGTCACCAGCTAAGCAAGTTGGTTTTGAATGCAGCACCGAAGATTCAACGTGCCACAATGGCTCCACCGGACGCATCACGTTGGAGGTAAATACTCACTTCATTTGCTACCAGGCTGACATACTCTCATTTGACTCGAACTGTTGCATTCCGCCCAAGAAGTTGAAATTGTCGAGTCCCAGATACAGTTTAAATGCTTTCTCAATCAGTTGTCCAACTGTCTACGTAGTGTATCGTGCACTGGCTGGCACCCAGATGCAGAGGGCTTGCCGCCAGAATCTTCCCCACCAATCTTTTTGTAGCCATTCTTGTGTAAATACCGTATGGAACCTCCCCTTCCTGATAACTTACTAACTGGTAATTGCCCGTGGAATTATTCTTTTCACTCTTTTCGGATCTCAGCTCACCCTATCCGTTCCTCGGTCCACATTTCATTCTGGAGCCACGGGAACCGGGAAAGTCGGTTGGTGCTATTCATATTAACGTGCGATCTCATTTGAATCCTGCGTACAGTTCTGGACTCAAACTCACTGGTTCACAGCTACTGGCGGACGAGGATCTGATGGCTACTGTTCTCGCACGATTCCACGCACCAGCGCACAGTTCAGGTGGAAATAGTTTGCAAATTTTCCATCACACGAATGTACGTTTTGCTTATTCGGAACTGTTTGTTTTATCTTACTGTGCATGTAGTTCACTATGAAGCATGATTGAAACCCTAGTTGGGTAACCATTTATTAGATATCTCGAACTCAGCCATCGGTTTCTGAAAAAAATCCCGTCAACTTAACAGCAACCCCAATTTCACCTGGTAAGCTACGCTCTAGAGTGTTATTCCTATTCTTTTTTGTTATCCGTTATGGGTACAGGGCAAGCTGCTAATCCGCGTTCCGAGATGCCTGTGATTGAGTTTACCTTTGGTGCACCAGTCATTAGGGTATTACTCTTGTGAAAACGCGTACTTTTCTAAGTTAGACCATTGTCAATAAACATCCGAGTGCTTACCAAATTTGGACAGGATGGAAGAGTATATTTTGAAAAATGTTCAACAGTTATTGCCTGACGCAGTGGAGGGACCGGTGTCGAAGAAGTTCACGAGTCACAAAGAATTTATTAGTGATAAACTCGATCCTTGACTGTTGTTCGGTTCGCGGATAGCAGTAAGGTCCGAATCCATAAGTGTGATGTTCACTACTGACTTGTCGACTTCATTAAGCTTAGGCTCGAGACTGAAAGTATAAATCACTCAGTTATGGCACCCTTTCGGTGCTTAACTGCCATGCCACCTGAAGAAAGCACGAGGCCTGGGATACTGCCATGTTGCCCAAGCCTAGACAGGGAGAGTCGAGATGAAGATGTCGGGTTCGAACCACGGACCTTCCGGTCAGTAACTTCTCGCCCCAACCACAGAGCCATCTTAAGACTCAGCCGACGACGTTGGGAGGTAATCGGTCGACTGGCATGTGAAGCACGCGATCAATGGAGTTTGATCAGCTGCTCTATCTTTGAAATGTTGCAATCCCTCAAATATAAAGGATCTCGTCGGTCAGACCGGTTAGATGACATTCAAATGATCAAGTGATGTTTGCTTGTGGAGCGGGGAGGGACTGGAAGGAAGACAGGCGGCCGTGATAGCAGTCAACACGGCGCCAAATGCCACCCACCGATGGCAGTGTTGAATTTTAGATATCTGTCTAATATATCAACATTTCGTGGCTTTAGACTTGAATTTGCTTGACTTTCTGCATGCAGGTTGTTTCTATGCATACCCCGAAGGCATTCATGTGCAATCATGTTACGAACGGATGAGCGAAACACCCTGACAGAGGGACAGTTCAGCGCGCACAACGGATCACACATGCCAGCATTTTATCAACTTGACCTGGTATATGTGCTGACAGTTCGCTGCCACAAGCAAAGCTGTGTTTAGAAGAGCATCCAACCGCCGTTGCCATGTGCAACGTCAGGGACAGTAAAGAAAACCGCATTAAACATCTGTCCACTGAGTCTAAATAATTGGTCGGTGCTTCGCTTCACCCCCTGGCTGCTTTAGCGCTTGAGTTGCCAGCTCTGCTAACCCAAGACTATGTGGAAGAACAGGTAACAATCGACCATCCAATAATTAGAGCACTATATTCTGATGAATACAAGGAACTCCCAGCAATCGTCTTACCCTTTAATCCTTCAGAGAAACCCATCCACCAGGAGACTGTTTTGACAAGAAGTATCAGACAACTTTGAGACACGTACCCAGTTACGTATGTTGTCCCAGACGAAACATTATGCTTTCGACTTTCTTGTTTTATAGGAGTGTTTGACTAAAGATTTGCTTGTGTGCGTTCAAATAGTACGTACAGTGCTCAATCACTACTCATTTCCTCATCATGTAGCAATCCAAGAGCTGTTTTGTGCACCTTGTTTACAGGTGGAAATTCCCGTTCCAGTCTCGGGAGGCTCTGGGTATTTTCACGTAATTGATGACCGTGACACTCTTCAAATAACACTGAACGCCAAGCACCACTCAAAGCCAACCGGTTTCGATGCAGGTCCGCATGAATTCAGACTCAAGTCTCGGCGAATTGGTTCGACGGTGTTGCGGATAATTGACCTTTGCTTTCCTACTTTGCCTCCTAGCATGGAACCCGTTGAAATCTATAAACCTTACGAACTCTTTTTAAATGTGGATATCGTAGGTTTGAGTGCGCTCAAGCTACATGCCGTTGATCGAATTCAATTAGGGGGACAGGTACGTTTTCAAGTCTTTTTATTTCGGGGTTTGATGGTGAATAGAATCATCGCTGTTGTCTGCTGTCCAAAAGTTCTCGTTTAGTCGCACAAGATAGAGGAGTTGAACATGTTTCGATACCCCATCCCCAGGTCATACTATTAGTCAAAACATTCGACTCAATAAGTAACTGCGAAAATACAGCCGGAACAACGTTATCGGTTCCATACTAACTGACAGCGTTCATATGAGCGTACATAATTTAAGGTGATGTAGGAAAGCTTTGTTTACGGGGACCAAGACACAACACTGTAGATAAAATGGTTGGCGAACACACGGTTTCAGTAGTCCTTCCTCAGGCCACACACGTATAGAGGTTAATTCGCACTCAAGTACAAAGACAGGTACGAGGTAAAATTTAGTCAAGAACCGTAACCAACAGTGCTGTTCCATGATTTTGACTGTATTTCACCTGAAGAGGCGTTATCAAAACCATGTGTTCGTCAACCTCTCTATCTTCAGTGCTGTGTTTTGTTCTCATGTAAACCAACTTTCCCACTTGATCTAGAGCTACGTACATTCGAATGACTGAGTGTTTATCTGTGACTCAACATTCCACCTCATATGACCCTTGAGGGGTTTGTAAGGTCAACTCCATCGTTGGACCACACATTTCCACAGAACTTACTCTATCTGATAAACCATCACATTAGTGGATAGATAGCACGTAGTGTTGACCGCGCACTTGAACACCAGTGACATTGTATTCTACTTATAGGCTAGCTATTCTGCTGCTCTATCACCTGTGATAGATTGAATTATGTATTTCCGTTGCTTTCCTGTAAGGTTGGTACAGCTGTACAGTACCCCTTGGCTTTTCAGCGTCAATTGGCTCCTAGCTAGGGGTAAAACTTTTCCGACTTGAAATTAAAAAATCTGTGCCTGCAAAGTGTCAGGTTTTCACTTGTAAAATTTTTGTTAGGATGCGGGGTTATTGTAGCATCATGTTTTGCGGTTCTTGTACCGCACAGTTAGAAACGACAACGGCGTTCATTATCAGTTTGAGAAGTCACCCCTACCCCTTTACAAAACCTGTTGCAAGCAGGTCCTTGTGTTTACTGAAAGGGACACCCAGAAACATATATCTCATTCAATATTTTCAGTCTTCTATCTCTTCAGCTTGTTTTCAGGGTCGTAGACCGTGACTGACGGCCACTCGGTCACCAGTTTCAGTATATCTGTTGTGTAGAATCCTGCTTTTTTAAGCCCATCTGGGCAGTGGCTTACACTTTGGAAGTAGGAAGGTTTTGTCTGAAAGTCGGTTGTTCGATACGGTGCTTACGAGTCTGTAGGGAGTGTTCATCTGTAACTCGCTGCCTACCCTGTAGACGCATGTCATCTCACACTGCGGAGGATCACGTGGGAATTGTGATTGTAAACCCCATAAATACAACTCCCCTTCTCACTCTTTTCCACTGTTTGCAGATCGTTGCGATCGTTGAGCCACTGGATAATAACGGACAACCACTCTTCGGGGGTTTTACTCACCTACTTGACCTAAATATTATTCAGCAACCGACATCACTAGACAAAGGAGTGCAATCGACGGTACTGGTGCTTGGTGTGCCTGACTTATCGTCTGAATCCTACTGGCAAAGTGATCCAGACCCTCCCAAAACCGAAGCTCATTTGGCTCGTTTCAACGTTCGTGGATTGTCTCTAGGATCCGCTTCATTAACTGTTAGCTGTGAGACTATAGAGAACGAAAGTAGAAAGACTGTTGTAATCCAAAGCAATGCGGTTGACATCCAGGTGAGTGACGGGATATGAAATTCATCTTGGAAGTTATGGTTGGTTTGAAATAGGATGATGAATAAGACCTATATGGTCTCAAACAGTTTGAAACCGAGGGGGTCAGACCAACCTCTCCTGAATGACCCAGTGGGTCTTCAACCTCCGTTGCACTAACCTATCTGTTTTGATTCTGAACCTGGAATTCTCCATAATCTGTCCCTGATTCTGCCCACATTTGTCGGGTGTACTTTATACATCAGATACCAAGACAGATATATCGAGGGGTTTATGTTCTGCGCGGCCATGCGAGAGCATGGCGGTACAACATGCCTTACATCGGTTTACATGGTGCCTTCGTTACCTTGGGGCAGTGCATAGAACGGATCCACTAAGAGCCACTTTCGTATTATTTCGTTTAGGCTAATGTGTATAGGCAGTAGGGAGAAACCTTATCCTTCATTCATCTCATCCCAGCCAAACGAAACAACAAGTTTTCGATTTCCGTTGGCAAGCGCCAAACCTTGTTATTAACCAGCGTATTGCATCCGTCTATTTACCACGAGGCATACTGTTCACATAGCGGATGCTTTCTGTTGTTCCAGTTGAATGGAGTCTTCATCACAGGGACAGTGTTTCACACATGCCCCCCACCAGCATTTATCTGATTGTCTTTTGTATGTTGCCAGAAGTGGGGAGCTGAGGAAACAAGATAAACCAGACGGGAACAATTCACGACGGACCTCTTTTATAATGATCAAACGCGAAGCCAACAATGAAAATGGCCAAAGACCGGTAGTCGTGGTTAAACAAAGAAATGAAAGAACACCCTTCTTCTCGTAGGCCTTCCAGTGTTATGGACCGGAAAGCTCGTCATCATGTCCGCGTTATGGGGAAAAATCGTAACTACGGATAAGCTTCAAGCGGAGGGCGAAATGCCTCAGTGGTTAGGGCGCGAATTTACTGACCGGAAGACTAGTAGTTTAAACCCGACCTTTGCCTTCCGATTTCCCCTGTCTAGGCTTCGTCAATCTGGTAGTGTCCCAGCCCTCGCGCTTCCGTCGAGTGGCATAGCAATTAGGCACCGAAAGGGTGCTACAGCTGAACGATAAAGTCCAACCCCAGATATCGCAGATTGTTTTTGGACTAGTGGAGTTCCCTTCGGATCGGTATATTTTTAACCGTTACTGTTAATCTTTTCCAAAACTGTCGTGAGCCGAGATAACTCGGCGATTGTGGCACGAAGGTCCATGTTTCGAACCCAGCCTCGGTATCTCGACTGCTCCAGTCTAGGCCTGACCAACCTGGCGTTATCTTAGTCCTTTTACTTTCATCGGGTTGGATAACAGCTAAGCGCTGAAAGGATGTTACAGCTGAATGACTACTTGTTTTAGGTCATGGTCATCTGCAAGCCAAACTGGTGGTTCTGTACGCACAGCAATTCAGAGGTATCGTGACTGCTATTGCCACATTCACAAGTAGCGCTAGCGAGACATTGTTATTCTACTACTAAACCTGTGTTTGATGACTAATGCTCAGTATTGCTTACTCTTTTTCGCTTCACAATTGCAAGGTTTAAAGTGCTAACGCAAGACGGTGGGCTCGAACGCTAACCTAATGCTTGGGGATGAGTCGATTGAGGTAGTAGACAAATTTATCTACCTGTCCCGGTGGTCCCGCGAAAGATGATTACGGCAGTGAAGCATCGGTGAGTAGTTTAAACCCGACCTTTGCCTTCCGATTTCCCCTGTCTAGGCTTCGTCAATCTGGTAGTGTCCCAGCCCTCGCGCTTCCGTCGAGTGGCATAGCAATTAGGCACCGAAAGGGTGCTACAGCTGAACGATAAAGTCCAACCCCAGATATCGCAGATTGTTTTTGGACTAGTGGAGTTCCCTTCGGATCGGTATATTTTTAACCGTTACTGTTAATCTTTTCCAAAACTGTCGTGAGCCGAGATAACTCGGCGATTGTGGCACGAAGGTCCATGTTTCGAACCCAGCCTCGGTATCTCGACTGCTCCAGTCTAGGCCTGACCAACCTGGCGTTATCTTAGTCCTTTTACTTTCATCGGGTTGGATAACAGCTAAGCGCTGAAAGGATGTTACAGCTGAATGACTACTTGTTTTAGGTCATGGTCATCTGCAAGCCAAACTGGTGGTTCTGTACGCACAGCAATTCAGAGGTATCGTGACTGCTATTGCCACATTCACAAGTAGCGCTAGCGAGACATTGTTATTCTACTACTAAACCTGTGTTTGATGACTAATGCTCAGTATTGCTTACTCTTTTTCGCTTCACAATTGCAAGGTTTAAAGTGCTAACGCAAGACGGTGGGCTCGAACGCTAACCTAATGCTTGGGGATGAGTCGATTGAGGTAGTAGACAAATTTATCTACCTGTCCCGGTGGTCCCGCGAAAGATGATTACGGCAGTGAAGCATCGGTGTTGAACACTGATATCATGCTGTCGGTGATGATGATGATGATGATGATGCGAAAGATGATATGTCAATCTAGGTTGGAAAGGCCAAAGCAGGTTTTGTGAACCTGCATCACCTGTGGCCTAAACGCGACAGCCTGTCCGAGCTTATGACGCTCCGTTGGGCTCCATATTCCTTTACGGATCAGTAACCTAGCCACTGCGTGCTGCACAACCATGGAAAGGGTGGAAACTGGCCAGGGGAGGTCAAAAACTTCCAGCGACTTATGAAATCCATTACCAGTAAACTTGGCTTTGCTGATCGTTGCCGTCTCCCTGAACGGAAATCCCGAGACGGGACACATCAATGGTTACGGACATTTTCAGTGGCGTTCTTGTTGTCAGTTTCTGTCCAGATTGCCTGAGTGAATGTCTGGAGGTGTAGGCACCTCGGAATGATTGTGTTAAGCTAGCACTATTTCCCCCCCCCAGCCACCCTTATTCTTTTCTTTACAATAAGGCTTCACGGCAGTGAAGCATCGCTGTTGAACACTGATGTCATGCTGTCGATGATGATGATGATGACAGACATTGTCAGGTATGGCGCAGTAGCGCCCTCAGTCGCGTTCGTACATCCAAACTATAGCCTTCGATACATAACTTCCCAATTGAAACTCCACTGACAACCTTGTATTTAGGCATCAATTGTGTCGCCTCCCCATCCGATGCGCAGCTACGTACCCCACATCCCCGAATCACCGGTGAACGAAACTTTGGTAGCTATAACCACTGTACGAGAAGTACGTGGTGCTTACAGCTGATAATGAGGATGACGAGCAATCGTAGCTTAAGAACATGGAACAAGGTATCCAAACGAAACACAGTCGGTGACTCCACAGTTTTTTTTTACAATCCAACGTGGTTCTGCGTCAACGCTACCCACTACTGTGTTTACGGGATCCGGTAGAGCTAGCTAGACATGGATATTATCTTCGTTCAGCGTTCATTGCTGAACACAGCTCAGCACTAGCGCCGCTGGAGTAATCATCTCCATCGGATAGCTCTTTTCCTGAACGGTATCTGCCATGTTTGAGTAATTTCAGGGAACTAAACCGATCCACAGTAAATAGTACTTGCGCCTAAGTTGAACTCTTGTTTGGCATTCTCTTGTGCGATCTGTTCTCCTCTCAGCGGATTCGGTAATACAGCACCTGCGGTCGAAGGTGGTCGTTCTTTCTAATATATGAGAATTTCCCAAAGGTCAGTTCTTTGTATGGCATTAGTTAGGTTTGAAAGATCTCTTGAGTGAATTTAAAGTAATCTTCCGTTTACCCCACATTGACTTTCACACCTCTCGTCCACCATATTGTACTTGCTATTAATAGTGATTACTTGGCTAACCAATTAAGTAAATTTGCCTGGTGCGCACTGAGAAATAAAATCAGGCTGTGATATAAAGTTTGCTCTCCTTTCCCTGAGACTTATCTTTCCTGACACGCTGCCTAATACGCAAGTTTTAGTGGCAGTGGTGTCCGAGCTTAGTTCCCGGTCTGGACCTTCCAAGCTAGCGTTCTCGTCGAAAGGACCGCCAAAAGTGCACAACGTGTACTTATACCCAAAACCAGGTCAAAAACACGTGTACAGCGTGTCATGTATGTAACAACAATCTGGAAATTCTGGCGCCTTCTGGTTGCACCACTGGCCACCGGTCATTTTGGATGCTAGATACTGGATAGGGGGCGAGATGATTCAGTGGGTAGAGCGCGAATTTACTGATCGGAAGGTCCGTGGTTAGAATCCGACCACCGCCTCCTGACTTCCCCTGTCTAGGCTTGGGCGACCTGGCAGTATCCGAGCCCTCGTGCTTCCTTCGGGTGGCATGGCAGCTAGGCACCGAGTGTTACAGCTTAACGGTTATCATCTGGATACTGGGCCATGATTAGTTACTGAGTGCAAACTTTCGGCCAGTTCGTGGCTCACCTTGAAGCTCGACCGGCAAGTGACCCGATCGTCTGACCAACTGCACGCGAAATGGACTTTGCCGTAGAAGCGCGTAACTGCGAGTGGCAGGGAGGTATCGGTGCGGAATTCCGCCTAACAAAAGTGTTCCTCCTCAGCTCTGACCATTGTCCGGTGGGATACCACTGTTCAACCCATAGCAGCCTCTACGTCCCATTACTTGGGATGTAGATGTTTTTTGAAGAGATTACAATCGTAAAACATATATTTACGAGCAATTCCACAATAAGATATTGCAAGTCTTGCTTGTAATTGCTACACAGTCTTCTGCCATGATATTTCCTTCCTCGTAATTTCACGTACGTAAGATGGATAATCGACTTGCAACCCACCTGAATCGAACACCACTTGGACGTTGTCATTAAGGTAGCTCTTCAAGAGTTCCGCGAGAACTTTCTTAGAACCGAGAACTGTGAAAAACACGTTTTAGGTACCTACCATCTGATTCTAACTTGTCCACCGTATTTTCACGTTTCAACGTGCACACTCATCGAATTGCATTTCGCTCGGTAAGACCCTGATAAGCGCAAATAGTTCACAATTTCACGGGAATTTTTTCCACTTTACACACTCTTCAGGTTTTTGCACCACTCCGACTGTATCCTTGCAACTTCAACCTGCTCTTGGGCGCTGAATACGAACTTCATGCTTCCGGTGGTCCGCATCCGTCAGCTGTGGAGTTCTTCGCGGAAGTCGCTCACAATGCCGTCTTAACCCTAGAGCAGACGAGGCCAACGAGTGTTTTGATTCGTGCCGGGGGTACACCCGGAACGGTTTCGGTTCGCGCTCTTACTCGAAGTCGTTCTTCGGCGATCAACGTGTCTTCATCAGATGCCAGCTCAGGTGGTCTTGTGGTCACCTCCGAGGTGCGTGCTAAGTTATCATTTGACTATGTTGCACCCCATCGCCTTAACCCTTTCTTGCAGTAATCCAAACGTGTTTTATGAAGAGGACTGTTACCAGAATAGTTTCGATTCGTCCGCAATCTGAAGTTTTGTCTTCCTGGTTTGTGTTTCCTCCTCTTTAGGCTTCATGTAATATCCATGTAGTGGCACTCTCAGGCGTACGAATTGGATGTCCTCTCGTCAGCTCTACCGAGATCGTTCCACAGCCTCATGCTGGTACCGGAAGCAGCTCACCAAGGGATCTCAACACGTTGGAGGAGCGATTTCTCATTGCCTGTCGACCAGAGGAGCAGTCGGGCAACTGCGGTGTGGCACCTCTGTGGATCGAGGGACTCGTGGCCCCCATCAAGTCCACTCGCCATCGAGCCACGCAGACTGATACTGCTGGTCAAATTCTCAACGAGTCTTTCGCTGACGTTGTAACTCCTCTGGGTCTAAGTGGATCAATACCAGCATTGCGTTTCAAATGGCGATTGAATCCTCCACAGCCGACATCTGCTGCTCGTTTGAATCACTTTTTGGAAGGCTTCAATGTGAACATTCCAGAGGTGTTGTGGTAGACCGTTTTGTGAGGCTATTGTGGTTATTTTTAAGTTACTCACGCGTCTACTTTCAGCTGCCGCATTTATAGTTGACTAACATTTCGCCTTCTGAATGCACCGTTGCGAATCATGGTCACTGCTTTGAACATTAAAAGAAATAGTCTCTGACCCGTTCAAACCATTGCATTTGTGCTAGTCAAAACGGCTCAATGTGGAAGGTGCGAACTTACTGACCGACAGGTCCGTGGTTCACACTCAACCACAGTGCATTATCTCAGCCCTTGTGTTCCAGTCGGGTGCCTCGGCAGCTATGCAACGAAAGGGTGTTACCATAAACAATGGCATTCACTGGCGTTTTGAGGTCTCGTAGTCAATAGCGCTCTTGTATCCCTTTACTCACTGGCTTTTCGTCTTAATTTACGGACCTCAGCTAATTTCCGTAGTCATCTATCATTGTCGTCAAAATGCTGCGGTTTTCTGAATCAAAGTACACCTTTACGTGATCCGTGATCCGAAAACGGGACTGTGCTGAACATTCCTCCTCCAGATTAGTCGAGGATGAGTGCCTCGGATATTACTTCGGTTCGGCCAAACCATACTATTGAAACGCACTCAAAAGGCCTTTTACTCGTTTAACTTCCACTGAGGGAGCACCTGTGCAGACTCTGCACTGTTGTCTACACTAAGATAACCTGCTTATCACTGGTCAACGAAATTACGGACCCGGGAGAACTAACTCTCTACGAAGGTAGGATAACCTATCTCTCCTCATCAGAGATCGGTTGTCGAACATCAAGCCTTGCATACAGTGGATTGGGAATGCTATTTGCAGGGTGCCTGGGCGATGCGAAAAAATGTGAATATTAGCGAATTCGATGAGATCCTGTGTGCTCCGCCGAACAATACCGGTTGATCATGTCATGTTAAAAATCATCGAAATTTCAAGTGTTTTTAAAGGTGGTGAAACAGTTGGTGTGTATTATGAGCTGATGAGTGGAGCTTGCATAGGCGGCTGGAAACAGTTGCCAACCGTTCTGATCACATCTGTCAGCTTCAGACCTTCATGTATTCGCATGCATTAAAATTAATCACTTCAGGGCTCGCTTCAGCTACTCGGTACTTGTACGCACCGATAAAGCTGCTTCATTGCACGTTCCAGCGGTCATCACTGACAGCAATCCACTAGTCGTACACACTGCTTATTAACAGCCAAGAAAAGGCACGGACTATCGAATATTGGTCACTGATTTTATCAAGCACGAAAGAGTCACCGACCAACTCTTTGACGCAACGAGGTATCATTTTCGTTCTTAGCGTCGCGAATTCTGGTGACTATCATCGTCGGTCGTTAGTCCGTAACTGATTGGCTATTAGACCGTGAAGAACAAGCTGGCTTTCGTAATGGACGAGGCTTCGTCAACTCCTGGAGCAACGCCGCACCTAGCGTACAACGAAAAATTGAGCTACCTTTGACGTGGACAAAATCTGTTTGAAACTATGTGATGTACCAGGGGTTATCAACCAGAACCATGAGCATACTTCAGCGCATTAACAATGAGAAATGGGATTAGTTTGGTATATCATCTATAAACCATGAACGTTTGTTCTTTGGTTCCGGCTGCCATCGGTCACCGTTCTCTACTTTAAAGGGACGGGAAACTGGTTATCTAAACTTATTTTGATCATCTCTAGCCGCGTAATCCGGAATAGATAAGGCTTCAGGTTACCGTTGACTTCGCCTTCCTGGAAGGTCGATCATCTCTGGACTGAAAACTTTCGTCGACCCATCGTTCGACGACCATTCCTTGCAGAGTATCTCGCGCTACAAACTCGGGGTTACGTGGTTGTGGTTTTCATGGACACTGACGTGCAAGGTTCGCTTGATTGCTGGCTGAGTCACATCAAGACGGTATTCCAGTGACTTCTACGGCTTGCCCTCATCCCACTCCTAAGTGAGGCTGTATGAGGATCAGTCTTGTGTAGTAGCCTCTTTTCGAAGAGATCGCACACAGCTGTTTTATACTTTTATGGAGAGTAACTGCACTCCGGAAGAATGGTTCTTAGTCGTAAGGAGCTGCGAGGTCTGGGAATCACTGCCCCAGAACGGAACACCAATTGGATTTCAAGTCAACTCTTTCGTGGTCCTCTTAGAAGACGTGAGCCAAAGCATTGACGCGGGGAACTATATTTTCGGAGAACACAGTCGTGAAAGTTCTTGTAACTCCTGTCCGACAGCAATCGGGATGGCTCAGGTGATTGGACCTGAGCCTGAGGTTACTCATGTTTAGGCTTGCGCAACCTGGCAGTGCTTCTTGCGGATTTTATGAGGGATATGAATCTAACTGGTGCTAAGGTTGACAAGGCTGGTTTTTTTCATCCGAGTTTAGAGTTTTGATCAACTTTCACTAAAAGCCTGGGAGGAATCGTTTCGAAAGAGTTTTTTAGGTAAGCATTCTTCGCCTTTCTTGTCTACAGAATGTCACGACTCGCTGTTGTCTTTAGATTTTAATTGCAGATCCTCGCACTTCTCTCCACTGTTCATTCTTCATTGCCGTCTTCCACATTCCATACTACTAATGGACACTTTTTATGCTCTTGTGATTTCCCGTCCTTTTTCCTTATCTAATACCTGTTGAATACCCTATCCCTCCCGGTTCATTCAGACTCACTTGGCTTCGGGTATGACTCTAATTGGCCTTGCACCTGGCCGTGTGACTATCCATGTGACTGTTGAGGCCACGGACTTATTACTTGCCCAGCTGGTTGGTTCTAATGGGACTCCCGTTCGTCAGCTACTCGCCCAACTTATCGTACTGATTCTACCGCCGTTAGGACTCCAATCGCCTTCCGTGCCACTACCTCGACAACTGTTAATGTCTCCTGATTCGCACTATCAACTGAGGCCCAGAGTTGATGTGTAAGCTCATTGGTTCTTCGTTCCAAAGGTTTTAGGAGTGGTTTGTCCAATTGGTATCATCTTCATTTGATTGCGGTTCCTACGAATAACGATTTCTGTTGGTTTCACGCCTTTCGCTTTTTTTTGCCCATCATTACAGGCCTTCACATAGTCATGTTCAGTACGAAGTCATCGCCCCACCTACATCAAACATCTCAAAGTTGGAACTTCCAGTCACAATCACTTCCGCTGGATTCGTTCAGGCTGGTACAATTGACCGGGTGAATTTCGAGCGCCGGGCAACTATCAAGGTTTCTTCGTGGCCCAAAGATCTACCTGGTGAGTTTGATTGGCGGACCGCCCAAACTATGTTTCTGGATGTCGTCGTGAAGTCTCCTCGTTATGTCCATCTATGCGCCACCCCTGGAGCGTATATCCGATCGACCGGGCTTCCTGTTGGCGGTCCTTATCAGTTGCAGCTGACCCATCATGACGACCTTGGTCGAAGCTTTGACGCCGTTGCAGGTGTGTCCAATTAAATTGACCTTGGCGTTGAGCTCGTGGTTTATAGCTTAGTTTATTGTTCACTACGTCGATGCAATTCATTATCTTTTATGGGTATACGCTAACAGTAACTTTGTTTTATATGGTTTCACGCGACCGAAAAGGTTGCTGCAGCAGTAATTATACGTTGGTCACAGCATTTTTCACAAGGCCAAACGGCAAACATTCGAGTAAAATCGGAAATGTCACATTGCAGGTGGTTGAACTTTTCCGATCACTGAACAAAACGAAATGAAATTGAATTCTGGTCATCGAAAACACTTCAAGGCGTGATCATTTCCTCGGAGAATAGAGCTCTATTTTTTTATCCAAGCTTTTTCTGCTGCTCGTCTCTCCCTGAGAGGAGCAAATGTTTGCGATGATTTGAAAGAACGAAGCCAAGGAATGATTGCATGCGCATTTGCTTTAAGCTGTTGACGAGTTTGAAAATTCGTCAAAAATGGTGGATTTTAAACGTATTAAGGAGTAGTGTTCCTGTCCACGTACCCACCGTTTGATCATCTCGCCTGGTGAAACCAGTGTCTATTTCAAACTAGGAATTCATCTAACGAAACCGATTCGGTTTAGGTTGAGAATCCGTAAGATTCCGTGACCTTGCGTTTCAAAGCTGCGTAGGAGAAGTTGACCAGACTTGGACCTGTTTGTATCTCTCAATCATACCCCCATCTATTTACGGGACTCCCGCCAACTTTCTGCTCGGCCATGCGGTTCATTAGCCTGTAAGCTTAACTTTGTTGTTACGATACATTCATAGTTTAGTTTTTGTTCCCCTTGCTATCAACTTCAGATAAGTACCTACAGTTGAGAAGTCATTTGCAACGTACTGATTTGATCGAAGCTATTCTTTCCGACTTTGTTCAACAACATCAACCGTCAACACCAACCGTCCTTAGAGGCCTCACTGGGTCTTCGCTAAGTCTCCGTGTTCTCCCGGTATCGTCAAATCCAGTGGACACAAAACATACAACGAACTTCGATCTTGTCAATTCTGTGTTACGTTTGGGGCAGACAGAAGAAAGCAGTGGCTTTTGGCCAACTTATCTGAGCATTCCCCATGGAGGTGAACAGGAGTCGATCGGTTTGTCCAGTATGGTTGTGTCCCAGTGGACTTGTCTTCCAGAACTGATAGGTGAGTGGTTCGTGCACTTCATCAGTCCTTAAGAACATGTATTGTTGAATGTTTCACAGCGATTGCCTAGTTGATTTTTCATCCTTGAATGTTCCGACGCAATCGGTTCCAAGCAACTCTTACCCTTATACAACTGGGTGTTGTCTTCAGTATCTGTTTACAGAGCTGAAATAAGTTTGTACCCTCCTTTACATCCACTCGATTCTATCATCTGGCCTCTGCAAGAGTATCTAGAGTATTGTTTTTTTTCCAGCTGGTCGAAGCAATTTGGATTTATCTTGATCAAGGACCATAAATGTGGATTTCGCTTTACGCGGACATAGATAAGCTTCCAAGTCAAATGTGCTTCAATGTATGTATCGGTACTGTGTTGAACGTCGTCCTGGTTTTTTAATTTACATTCGGAGATCGTCAGTCCGGCGGCGACGACTTCTCAAAATGAATTCATTTCGAGATGCCGTCTAGAGATGCAGGTTTCATTCAGAACCGTCTTCTCACCTGCAATCGAATCGCTCTAAGATTACATAGTGGTATTCATCAGTTTGTTCCTGTTCTGGGTTTCGTCATGTCTTTTGGTTTGATTTCTGAAATCTTATGCTGTGCACAGGAATGGATTAGCCATAATGATGCTATCGTGACATACACGCATTTTGTCCATACGTATCGGGGAGAATGCCAAGACATACCTCATTCACCGTAGATGTTTGAAGAGGCTTGTCGTTACCACGACCACTTTGTGATTGTCCCGCTTTGGACACCTCTTGCGCCCGTATGAATACATACGTAAAACGAAACCAAGTGATCCCCGTGAACTCCATATCACAGTGCCATTCGAACAAGCTTCGCTTTGCGTCCAGTTTAAGGAAACAAGTGTGCCGTGCACTTCGGAACGATGAATATCTGAAGATTTCCTGCCCTTACCTTCTTTCAGTGATTTCCTGTGCAGAGGAATGCTGTACTTAGTAAAAAAAAAAACCGGTCAGTAAAATAATCCCCTTAGAACGTAATTGTTATACCCATTACAAGTGGAACGAATGTCACCGCGCTATGCATCCACCCCAGGACCTTGACAGAAGCTGTTGGGTCGCACGAAATTGGTTCGATTCGCTGACCTCCGCTCGTTTTATTACGAAGTGAACAGCGTGGAGCTGTGGACAGTTTTTTCTGGGGCACTTAAGCGTTGAAAATCGATTAGTTCATTTCTCCCACTACGACCTCGATAAAACCAAGCGAATTCGTTCGTAATAGGAAAGTGATTGGTCATACTATGGAGGGACGAATAACCTGATACTTTAGAGTTCCACACGCAGTCAAACAACTACGCTGTGGAGGAAGTCGTCCCAAGCAGCGTCGTTAAGCGTGTGAAGCGTGCGAAGCCTTTTGGTCAACACATAAGACTCACCACTCACTAATCCTTCTGCGTTCTAGATGGCGCCCGTTGGTCTTCAAGCGACCCTTCCGTGTTGTGGGTGGACCGGTCTGGTCGTCTACTGTTGGCGCGTCGTCCTGGTAAAGCTTACCTGCTTTACACTGTGGGGCCTAATCATGGCCCTCAGTCTCTGTGGTCTAACTCAAGTTATGGAACTCGGTTGAATTATTTGCGCGGGATTCGATTGAAACCACTTCTCGGTGAACCCATGCAGGCTCCGATTCGTTTGGTTTTTGTGGATGCTGATAGCAACGTTATAGAGTCAGGTCATGCTGTTCTGCCGGCCATACCGCTACAGATGCCAGGCAACCGTAAGACTTCCACAGCGGTACGATTCTTGGTTCAATTGGAGTCAGACACAGGACCAAAGGATAGTGGGTCAGTTGTTCTATTCCTTTTCTAATGTGACTGGCATATCAGTTTATGTTTCATCACCTTACTTAGTTCTCCCATGCCTTCTGTCTTTTTAGTGACCACAACTCGTGCTTCGTAACTGATGATAATGCTCGACACGAGCTGTTGGTCAACTCCCCGATTCACTGCTCGATTCAACTTTCATCGTCTGCTCAACATCGCGTTGCTCCAAGCTGGCTAAGTTTGCTTGTTCTGTGGTCACAAAATGATACCCTTCAGTCTACGGATTTGATCTCATCTGCCTCTGTGCTAAGCGAGTTTGTGAACGCTAAACTGGAACCGGTGACCAAACAATCTGCTTTTTATCGCGACTCAATCCAATGGCAGTGCGTTCTCCGAACTACTTCACTATGGCATCACTTTTCTTCCATTTTGGGCCTAGTTTTGGATCCGGATGCACGGTTAGCAGTACATTTGAAAAGCTCCGATGCCCAGGAAGGTGAATACCCCATACTGGCTTCCAGTGAGATTATTCCTCTACCAGGCTTCCAGGTCGTGATTCCTCCGGCATTGGTTCATCCTATGGATCCCGGGTTAACTCACGGTATTAGTACGTCTCTTCCGCGGTTTTATGGTTTCTTCTGCCCCGTTTCCCGAATGTTGTGAAAAATTGCCAATTCAGTTTCTGAGCACTTCACTGAGCGCGGTGCTGGGAATCACTCATGCAAGAACTTATGGGCTGTTTGTTTAATGCCGGGTTTCATATAATCAATCTTTTCCCGAAAGTTTGTAGTAAGCTACAAACGCACTCTGACACTGGACGATTTTTTGGTAATTTGTAAGTTGCGCTGCTGTTCCAGCGTGATCTCGCAGTCGATATCAGGCCATCGTGCACTACCCGGAATCTAGATCTGTTTAACAGAAAGAATTTTCTGCTGTATCGTGCCCCACGTATAGGTGGTCTACTGTGCAGACTGGTAAATTTCCTTTCTGTCGTGATCAAAGTTTCGCTTGAGATGTTTGTGCCTAGCCAGCCCGGATACTACTCAGTATGGTCAATCGTTCAGCTGTAACACCCTTTCGGTGTATCCTATTCCAGACGAACCCCTGATGGTTTCCCATATGTGTGTTGGCCTGGTACTCCTTCCCCCTTTCTAGACATTCATATCCCTTGCAATTGTTTTGATACCTTAGCCTTCTTTGAGTATATAGTTAGGGTGCCTGGTACGATTATAGCAAGCGTACATCCTGTACAGCAGTTGCGCTCGAGGGGTAGTCCAATGGCAAAGTTGCGAACGGTCCGTGGTTCCACTCCACCGCAGCCTCTAGGATGCTCCTATCTAGGTTTGAGCAACTTTCCAGTATCTCAACCCTCATGCTTCTTTCAGGTGACATAGCTTATAAGCACCGAAAGGGTGTTACACCTGAACGACTTACTTTTTTCTGTTTGCCGAATGACTATGTTCTTTTCGGCTTATCATCATTATGCTAAGAGGCTGTGATCATGTGAGAATCTACCACAGCAAGCCGTACTGTTTGTGTAGGGGGTGAGCTTCAGTGAAGCGCGCTACTTTAGTGTGGATTCTCCGGATGTTATATTGTTGTTATTACGTATTGTATTACAGTGTGACTTCACTTCATTTGTAGCCTATCTGGCTTGGTTCAATAACCCAAGTGAATTGACTCAGCGGATGCTAGTGTTTGTTCCACCGGTCACATCAGCGATGATTGTCTCGAAACAACTCGGACCTGATCGTCTGGTTGTTCGATCCAAACTGCCCAATGTCGTGGATGTGACTGGCCCACCAAGACCCGTTTATAGCTTGACCGAAGTTTCGCTCATTTTGGCCGAGTATACGAACCGGCTTAAATCTGCCACTCCGATGGTACTCAACAGCCTACCTTCGTCTTTGGGTCCGGTGGTCGACATGTGGCGCACTCTGGCCGCACAGCAGACTCAGCAGGTAGAAAATGAGGCCGCAGTTTCCAGTGACGGCACTTTGATTAAACAACAACTTCTTTGGGTGGTTGAATTGCGAGCGAGCGTAGGCGATGCCGGTGAGTCTATTTCTTAACTTTTCGTCTGTTTATAGTTTGATTCGATCAGTACTCGAAGGATGCTCAATCGTTTTACGTGAAATGGAGTTCACTCTTTTTTGTTTCGTTTTGAGGATGGCCTCTTTGGGATACTTACTCATAACTTTCCAAGAGTGTAGGCATCTTACTCCAAAGTATTGTTCCCTTCCATTCATTATCAACTTGTGGCACCTTTCACTAGAGTGGTGCTCTGTTCAGAAGAGATGCCATTTTTGTTCATTACTGCCTTCGTCCATTTTTCTGACCCGCTTTAGCCGTAAGTACAATCGTGGACGTGGTTGTGAGTCTCCGACAGACGGGTCAGCATGTGGTCATTCCTGTACAAGTTCATCTACCGTCCAAAGCGGATCTCTCGAGTTCCATGGGTCAGACAAGCTGGAGGTTGCAGTCTACGGGGTTCTCGTGGCTTCATTTATTCGCTTTGGTTCTGATCACGCTTTTATTCGCGATTGTTGGTGAGTTCGGAAAGCTTACCTCGTTTTATCTGACTCTACATTGGATCAGGGTTATGATGAGAATAATCAACGAGTCTGTCACTTGCAGCGAGTCTACTCTTACATTGCTCCTACGTTGGACACTGCTTGTCATTTCGTGATCGGTGGTCGTGGATTTGCTTGTGTCGTGGAGCAGAATGCCTACATATGCCTACCTAGCTCGGTTACTCCTCACTCCTAGCTGGATGGTTCGCGAACGTCCCTTCGTACACTGCTGACACTGACTTCAGAAAAACAGTTTATTTTTAAAACTAGTTTGTCAGTGAGTTGTTCGCAAACTATTCAATTATTCCAAAGACTTTGGGAGTTCGTAGATACTTCCTCATGAGGTTCCTGAACAGTCTGGACTTATTTTGTTTTGTGTCTGTTTTATTAGTTCATGTGGTGCTTCGATCTAGCACATTGGTCAGCTCCTCGGATGGTCTAAACGTCACAAAGGACCTCCCTGCCGGTGTGAGCCCCAGCGCGACCCGCAAAAGCCCGCGCCAACTCTGGACCCATGGCTACCAACCGTTTTCCACTCTCCGATCCCCCAACGTACTCTGCGGACAGTCTATTTATGGAACGAACCTCTCGCCTCCGCCAGGTGGACTATACTACGGTGGTCCGTCGAGTCACTCCCCCTTGGGTGATGGTGACATGGCGATGGAAGAGCGCAAATGGAGGCGTGCTTTGAGCGGTGGATCACCGTCGAGGTTACGGGATACCTTCGATAGCATTTAGACTTAACTCTCTGAAGGACAGAATTTTGTAATTGATAAACCCAGATCTTAACAGTCCGCACCACTATACACGCAACTCGTGCCTTTCCACGGCAATGTTCCAAACCGTTTATCGTTATTTTTTTGTACATAATTGTATCAGTTTCGTATGAGCTTTGTTTACGTACCAGCTGTTGTACATGTCGCTTTAGTAGAAGTTCTCCAAAATGCTGTTCATTTGTTCGCTTTTTCTGGGAATCGATGGACTGGGGGACATGAACGTAATTGTGACTGCTCTGATCAAACTACTTCATGAGGCGAAAAGCGGGAGACTGGTGATCATCAGTGTTGCTTGTGTTACAACCTGGCTACGCACCAAAAGGGTGTCACAGCCGAACTTTTTTAAAATCATTTTTCCTATAAGAACTAGGTCACAAGAGCCTGAGATAGTTCAAAGGACTCCGGGGATCGAGTTCATCGAGTGAATCTTAGCCGCTCTCTAGGCTTGGGCAACATGACAATGTGTCCACTCTTTATCGTTTTTGGTCTGTATGGTAGCTATTCATCGAAAGGATGCCACAACTGAGCCCATCGATTCGGTTTCTATCAGAATACTGCTGTGCACCACATGTCAAGATCCGTTGCTCATTAACACGTCTGGAGCAATTACATAGGAAGTGGACGAGCGGTGTTTGCTACCTCGGATTCAGTATCCAGCGAGATTCAGATGACACTTTCTTTCTGTCCCACTTGTATTTTTGATGATGAACGAAATTCGTTGTGGAACTCTTGTTTTAACCCAACCGGTGATTTAGTCACCGGTGGGTGGCCTTGGATATCCGTCACTTGTAGCATTTCATTGGGTTTCCGAAGTTGCGTATCCTTCATCTGTAACGCCTGGTGTCTGACTACCGTGCTATCTGAAGGAAGCAAGAGGGCCGAGATACCTGCAAGTTATCCAAGCCTACACAATAACCAGTGGGGTTGCCTTCGAACCACGAACTTCGCGCCTTAACCAACGAGGTTTTCCGATCTCGCGTGTGCTTATGATCACAGCCGGACGGGGTCTCATATACATCGGGCACTTCAGGCTTGTGTCTGGTTGTATTGACACGGGTTGGGGGTCACATGAACAAATTTACGACAGAAAAACTGGAGGGTCAGTACATGGACCGGGTTATTACGGCACTTCATTTTGATACAAAAAGGTAACTCATTCAATCGGTGTTGCAACCAGTGCTTCATAGCAACGGTCAAAGTGGCTCAATGGATAATGTTTTGTGTTGAAAGACAGTTTCTATGGTTCGACAAGCCGGGTGATCCTGATTAGAGAGGTTCACATTGGTTGATAGACGTGCTGCCGTGAGACACTTTCCGCACAGATTATAGTGTGTAATCATATCCGTCACATGACTATTGAGGACAACACCTTTCATGTGTAGCATCTGATTTTGTGCTACTCTATAGGTACCTTGCTACTCGTGAGTAGTCAGTTTTTCCGAAACTAACGTATTCCATCAGCTCTGTGCTTCCTGTTGACTTTCTGCTTTTGTGGGATTTGGTGCACATTCACCCACCGTGCAAAGAAAACCTATCCAAAAATTTGGGGTTTTGGAAGGTCCTTACTACCCCTCATCATGCTCGAAATATTTTTTCGGATTTAAATTCTTGGACAAATTTCCAATCATGAGCGACCACATGAATATCTCAGTTCAGTTGCTTTGGGATTTAACATCACGGTCACGTGGTGGGTGGTAATGTTCGGATAGGTTAGTTCACGGTTCGCTTGGATTCCGTGACCACGGCGAACGAGAAGTGAATTGGTCGGTACCGTACTCTACAGATTTTGGATGTGAGAGCTCTGTAGGTGCATGGTGTAAATCCTCTGGCAACGGGAACTGGCGGGATCGGCCGCTCTACAGTGTTGCAATCCGTGTCTTCCCAAAATCCAGATGTACTTTGGTACATCTTTCGCACTTTTCAAGTTTGTGAGAGCAACCGCGTAGTCGTCGCTATAGTCAGATACTAGATATCATGCGATTTTTCCTCTGGGAGGCTCGTTTGTTAGTGGTGTATCAAAAGAAGGATGGTTATCCGGAAGCGTCAGGATAATTGCAAAAGTGACTGGGATAATGGAACGATAAGAGCGAAAAAGTAGCGCACAGCTTCATAGTGATCCAGACGCTCTTGATACTGTACGTTCTCAGGTCAATTGTAACACTAACCGGCCAAGGCATTTAACCCACAACGACATTCAGCGCAAAGGAGGAGAGCGGAAGGGGTAAATTAAAGGAGGGTAACAAGCACCTGTCATACTGGCTCACTATGGGGGGATAAATAGAAAACCTCCCGATCGGACCTAAACGTACCGTCATTCATATCAACACTTCAATAGCCTCCTACGTTATTCGTTCCCGGAAGCGGATGGTAACAGGAAAAGAGAACTCCGCTGACTAGAGTACTCTGATGAAACAGGCTAACCGAGCTTTATACAAAGACGCTATTGAGCCGGTTGTATACTCTCAACCCATCCTAAGTAAGATCAGGACAAGTTCCATTACTTATCTAAGAGCGCCTTCTGAAGTCAGTATCAAGCTTCTTTGTATTCAAGTTGTACCGTTTCTCCCGTCCCAGATTCCTATGCAACTCCAACTTATTTTCCACTACTCTCGCTAAACGCCCACTGGTCCGAATGATAGTCTACCAATTTGGTTCCGTAAATGTGCTTCAGAATTTCCTCAGATCACTCCTCATCTGTTCCGTTTTTCCATAATTATTGTTCATTTTTGAAGAGCATGATCACAGACGAAAAGTGAATGCGAAAGGGTAACAGGAGAATAAGAGAGATAAGGGAGAGAAGCGTCTCATTCGAAGTCGTGCCACCAACAGTTCCAGTCAGATAAGATGAATCCCAACGTGTGCAGGAATTTCGGTATGGAAGCCCGCGTGTAAAGACAAACAACCGAAGAAAGGTCGAACAATGCTGAATGTTCTTCAAGGTGCGATAATCGCTGGCACAATCAAGACTCGCACATAAAACAAAAAGTATCCGTTATACTGGGTCTGGTGTGAGGTTAAATGGCAGAAATATACACTCAGCGCCATATGCCACGCACAGAAGTGTCGTAAGTAAGCAGGGATCCCACAATGGCAAGCAAACACAAGTCATTGACTGTGAGCTTAGGAAGTTTCAGTCCAATAACAGCCTCGGCGGATTGAGGAAAGCAGAACCCTCAATAAGAGGTGAATATCGGTTGTTGGACCAAAAGGTCGACATCACAACCAATTTCACGCAGGGTTGAGATTGTGGCAAGGCAACATTCATCAACACCATACCTCTGCTTCTCATTCCACACAGTCACTCCGTGCCCATTTGAGACAATGCTCACGTCTATCACAGTTGTAGTGGATAACGCTAGCAAATACCACTTAAAGTAGTTAAACCAAGTGAGTAAAAATAGGCGAGATCATACAACTCACAGTTCGTTGGTACAGTTAGTTATTACCACCACAATAAATCCAAATCGATCTCCTTCCTGGAATCTTCCTTAATATATTCCTAGATACTTTCTATCCCATCGTAGTATGAAAGGTAGATCACCGCTCGTTAATTCACTGACAGCGTAACTCGACACAGCAAGAAGGGAACACGCTTTTCACGAAGTACAGAATTTGTATTGTGTGTATGCATCCATATTTCTTTTCATTCATTTAAACAAAAGTTATTCGGTATGAAGAGAAGAGGAATAAGCTGAGATTAAGTGAGAGATGGAAAGTGTTACAATTTGCGTAATGATAAGTTACAAAGAAAGTACCAATATACAGTGGTCAGAAGGATCACCATACAGTTGCACTGCACACCCAAAAAACTACCACGTCACGCTTGATGGACGAAGTGGAAATTGGTGCTCTCAACGGAGAATTTTCGCGAGTTCCTTTGAAACCAATCGACAGTTTAAATATCCAGTGTGGCGTTTAACACATACTGCTATTGCCCCATCATTCCTGTGCATTGGTAAATCCTAATGACCTTGGAATTTCCCAACTGGAAGATTTCCTGTGATGAACAAGACTGACACCATATTCGTTGCTCTATTAATTATTCTCTTGTTTTAATATTCTATATGCTGTACATATTCGCCAATTCGAATACATACGTGCTGGTTGTTACGCTTCGCTGAATTCTGGATTTCTAGTTCGTCTGGTTATACCGATATACGTACGAAACT